TATATATATATATATATATATTAAATTTTACATAATTTTAAAATTACTTAATTATTGATCTTAATTACTTTATTTTAATGTATACATAATATTTAAAATATGTATGTTCATTTTTAGATATATAATATAAATATTTAAAAATTTTAAATAATATAAAATTTAATATATATGATCTCGAATATAATTAAATCAGTTAATTTTATGTTATACAAAATATTATTAAAAATATAAGATTTTTTTTAATTATTTAAACTTATACTCAGTGTTAATAGACATGACTTATTAAAATCAATTCTTAAAAGATTGAGATGAATTTAATTTTGTTGATTAAATTAATAAAATTATCTTAATAAACTAAATAGTTGAGTTTTAAAAAAATCAGAGGATTTTATAATTAGTTATTTTAAAACGGTTTAACTTTCATGTATTTTTAGTCTAAAAAATTATACTCGCACTAAGTTAAAATTTTATTGTTAATATGCTTTTTTAAATAATTATAATAAAAAACATTTAACTAAATTACGATTTTATTTACAAAAATACTACCGCATCACTTTCAATTTCGATTCTCTAATAATCATCTTAAAACATCTTGAAACTTCTTTAAAAAAAAAAAAACATCTTGAAACTAATTTTTTACTAAAACTAGACACGCACAATAACAATTTGAAATTAGGCATATGACCAGACGAAGGTGTCGCAGTAGACTTTATATTGTCCCCTTCACATTGTAATGGGTAAAACTTTTCTTTATAAAAGTAATTACTCTTTTAAATCGGTTATTCTTTAAATTAACCTAAATTAAATGCACACTTACATTCATTTTTAAATACTCGATCTTTATTATAGGAATCAAAATTTCAAATTGATTTGATATATTTAATTTATAAAACTCAATTTATTATGTTTTTAACATTAATTTTTTAATTTATAAAAATAGATTTATTAAATGTATTAATGAGTTTAAAAAATAAGTAAAATTCATTTAATGTACGTCTCTTAAAATGCAAAAATTTTAAGGATATTTCTACAATACTTATAAAATAAGGTGTTTTGGTATAGTTTTTTAAAAAAAAATTTTTTACGTTGAGTTACTTATTTCAAATTCATATAATTTTTCTTTTCACATTTGAACTACTTTCTTACGATATATTAATTATTTAATAGAAGTGTGAAAATACAATTTAAGACCTATGAAACGTGAAGTAAAATAATGTTTGTAATTCTGATTTGATCCAATAAAATGTAAGAGGTCTAACTTTTATGTTGTTTGTTCACCAGTTTCAATTGATGTCTACAATATTTTTAACCAACTACTTGATACAAGTGCAAAACTATAACATGACAAAAAATTAAATAAAGAATTAATTATTATTAATTTAAAATTAACAATTTCAAAATCCATCAAATTTATGTGGGTATGTGTAGCATTTCTCAAATTTTAACCCATTCATCAATGTCTACTTTTAAATAAAAAATAAACATCATAACATTTTAACCCTTCCACGTTCTAAAATTCACAATGCATCAAAAAACTTAGGATCCACAACATAGACTCAAATCAAAGAAGGAGGATTGAGATTAGAGTTTCCTCTTTGCAATTAAGTTTGTGATAGTGATTGAGTTTCACCTTTGGAATTAGGGTTTCACCTTTGGGATTAGGGTTTCACCTTCATCATGTAGTTCTTTGTGAATTCTTTGAGCGAATCGAACACAAAATCAATGACATCCATTATCTTTCTCTCTAATTCTCAAGTTTGAATGTGAGAATAAAAACAAATGTTGTGTTGATTTTTTATTTTTTTAAAGCGTTCTATATTAAACAATATATAACGCATGTATAAGTTTAAAACTTTTAATTCTTCAATGTTGATTTTTTAATTGAATAAGTAGAATAGATAAAAAAAGATATGTTAATTGTTAAGTAACTAAGCCAATGAAGTAAATGATGTTACATAGAAGTGACGGAACTAGCAAACTAGATATCAATAAAGGAAAGTAAAAGATAAAAGATATTGGAAGCGTTATGGCAATTTAGAACCGTCACAAAATGTGATCTTTTGTAGCAATTAATATATCTGCCATAAATAAAGACTTTTCTAGCAGTTTATTAAGTGCCCCAATAATAACCAGCCAATAGTCACTTTTTTTTTTTTGTAATGGATCAATGACAATTTGATAAAAATTAATGTACTTAATGCACCAATGGACTTCTTATTCTTCAAGGAAGGAAAATGAAATATAAAAAAAAGTAAGTCTACAAGTGAAACTCAAGATGTTGCAACAATTATCTTCATCAAGCACCTATATAAGGAAGTTTGAAGAAATCACTGAGTGAGATAAACTTATACATTTCTTTTCATTCTTACTTTTTGTGTAAAACTCTGTACTTAAAACTTGTATCACGTCTTTTGAGAAAGACAAAAAAATTGTTATCCTTATTCAACTTTAACTGTGTTTAAAAAATACTTGGACGTTGTTGTTTGAAGAAGTAAATTAAATAATACTTAGGTTAAGTCAAAAGTAACTAATGAAAGAATACTTATAATTTACAAAAGATAATAGAACTTGATTAAATTGATCAACAATTGAATGTAATCTTGATGGTTAAGATAAATTAGTATAAAAAATACTATATTTTTTATTTCGCTTGCATTCCTTTTAAGCTTATGTTACTACTTCATTATCTTAAAAAAGTGTGGAGTTTTTTATTGACATTATTCAACACCTCTTTCTAATATTTTTTTCTACACAATTTTTGACAAGAACAATACATTTTTCCTGTTATAATTTTATTTGATAGACACTTACTCTATCTAGTATTTATTTATTTCTTACAAAAATGAATTTTTTTAATGAGATAGTAGTAATTTCTTTGTGCATAATAAATGTCATATTAAGTATTTTAATAAAGACAAAAAAAAATTAATAAATAAATAATTTCTTTTTATATAAAATGAACTTTATTATCAATCTATTTGTTAGGAACAATGCAACATAATAACTTTTTAAAATTATTGCATTCAAAATTTAGGTACAATATCATAGGTACAATTAATGTTTTCCAATTAAAATTGAAGTTTATTTTAGTAATTAATATTTACATTAATGTATACCCTTATAATATATATTTATACATATTACAAAGATGAAACTCTAATTCTTATTAGAGAAAACTCAATATCTAAGATACTATACTTAAGTTTTGTCCAAATATTACTACATCGGTTACTTTTTAATAGTTGTTTATACATAAACTAAGAAATATAATGAATTTCCCTATTTGTCATTTTTTTTATGTTTCCTATTAGAATTTTTACACTATAATAAATGCACTGTAGTTGTTGATATGTAAATTAATTAAAAGTTATATAAGATGTAAGATTATAATTGAAAAAAAGCAACTAAAGTTATTATCTTGAACTTTGAAATCGATAGATAAATAGAAACAAAAGTTTACTAAAAAAATCAACAAGTAAAAAAAAAAAAAGTATTACAGATAAAATGAAAAAGAGGTACGCAATATTGCATTGCAAAGTTATAATAACACTTTGTTGAGATTTTCGTTGAAATTAACTTTTGTTCTCATTATAAATTATTTTAATTCTGGCAACGGGCTCAAACACGACAAGTATACCGGCCGTTCAAGTAGTAAATTTAAATTGTATCTACAAAGACTAATTAGGTAAAACAAGCATTTAACGACTATTTGTGACCAAAGAATAATTCCAATTTTCATAGATTGTCGTGCATTTGAAATAAAGATTATGACTATTGAAATTTCAAAATTACAATATAAATTGTGTGTGTGGAAGGGACAGAAACGGTGTTGTGAGTTTGTAAGATTGTGGACTCATAAGTTTACTCAAACCTAATCCCTTAGAGTAAGAGCTTAGGTACAGGTAATGAATATCAATTCCTTGAGTATCCAATATACACCTGCATTACGGGTTAGGGTTTAAGACTACTAATGGGCCAAGCTCCATTCCTAGATACATTTTCCACTAGGCATTTGTTTCAGAGCTAGTTTCAAAGGTTATTTTCTAATACCCAATGGACTCTATATCAAGCAAAGGGGAATTAATCCAAAGCAAACATGAAGAATAGAAACATAACACAACAATGAATGAAACAACATATATATATCATTAATAAAGTGAAGATTATAAAAGAGTTTCGTTGGTTACATCTAACCCCATGGGTAGAACCACTCAAAATAATGAGGGTGAAACAAAAATAGAGATGGAAAAGATGGAAGAACCGAAAGAAAGAACCACCATGAACGGTCTCAAGCACCGAGAATCCCTTCCACAGCTCCTAGAAGTCGCTCAATGTGTGAATGAGGCAGAAAAGCCTCGAAGCTTTGCTCAAATATGAGTTGGGTGAGACAGGATAGGATTTACACGCTCGGCGCGTTATACTTCGCGCCCGGTGTAGGTTCTTCCAGAGGGGT